CTTCTCTGGTTCCCTTAGATTAGGGTTTTGCCTCTCTTACTCTTGGCTGGTGTTGAGGACGAGCTTGGGCTACTATGGAATGCTTGGAGAATCTTGGATGTGAAGATCTTTCCTTCTTTTGGTGTAGTTTTGTTTAGGTGTTAAGATTAGGGTTTTGTAGGCAGAGCTTCTAGATAGTTCTCTTCCTTCATAAACATGGAATATGTTGATCAATTCCATTCTTCCCTATGATGTAAGGTCCCATTGTAAAGGCCTCATCCCTCCTTTGGTAGGATGTGTGGCTCTTTGCAAATTGGTAGAACCTTTGAGGGTCCCTTTCTCTGATGACAGGATGCTTAGTGGTGACCTTTGGTCTTCACTCTGCTACCAATCATCCAAACCTTGCTCTTGATAGATGCATATTTATCCCTTGTCATAGGATGGAGTTCCTTGCTTGAAGAAGATTGAAGGATGAAGTTGACACTTCCATGTGATTGAAGATTTCTCTGAGAAGCTGAAGCTTGTAGATGAAGAAGACCAAGTTGATACTGGTGAAGCAAAGAGAGCTGAAGCTTGAAGACTAAGTTGATACTTGTAAAGAAGATTCAATTGAGATTGAGTGAAGAGATGAGGCTTGAGGAATAAAGGATAAGTTGATACTTACATGGATGCATTGAAAGCCTGAAGGAATCAAGTTGATACTTGTAGTTTACTGAAGAGCTGAAGCTTGGAGAAGTGAGAATAAGTTGATACTTATGTTTGAGGGATTGAAACCTTGGAAGAGCAAGTTGATACTTGTCATTGAAGATGATAGCCTTGAAGGGTGATTGAAGTCTGAAGACTGAGTTGTTGTCAGAAGAGCTGAAGCTTGAAGCTGGGGAAGCTGTTGATCTGCTTTCTTTTCTTTCTTGTCTGTTTTCTTTTCTGTGCTGATATGCCCTGTTTGACTTGCTTGATGCATTAGAATAAGTTCATATCTAGATTGACTTGGACTAGGAGCATGACTGCACTAGAGGTTGAGTTGCTCCCTCTGCTTGTATTTTTACTGTGTGGCTTTGCTTGCGGGTATTCGATAGAGCCCAGCTCCCTTGCCCATGTGGTTTGTGTTTGCTTGATAGCATTTCATTTCCTATGTATGATTACAGCTTATTCTATTTTGCTTGATAACATGTTATTTCTTCTGTATGATTGCAGTTTATTCTATTTTGCTTGATAGCATGTTATTTCTTCCTGTATGATTGCAGTTATTCATATCTGGCTTGAGGTTGAGATGAGCTTGTGGAGGCTGATGTCCCACACACATTTCCTCCCTCACTTGCATTGCATGCACTTTACTGTATATCTATTTACTGTATAAGCTGATGCTTTATCTGTTTCTGTTTATCATTGACATGATCCCTTAGGACTCTCACTTCCTTTGATAAGGAAGTGATGATTAGAACTTTAGGTTGAAACCTATGCATGATAACTTCTATGAGTTCCCTGTTTCAAACTTCAACCATAGGATGAATCCTTGGCATGATAACAGTAGGACTTGATAGTCTCCCCTTAGTCATCCCTCTCTCTTCTCATCTACAAATAGCTTAAGATACAGTAATCATGAATGATTTCTTTCGTACGTTACGAGCCTTAATCTATCTGAGAAAGGATTGTTGGAGAGTTTCTTTTCAACAGTCTGGATGTTTAGTATGGTACCCTTTGGGTGACATGCGACGCATTCACTCTCAGGTCATAGTCTTTAGTGCGATTGAAATTGCAAACACAATAAAAAACAGTTCTTCCGTAAAAGACAGAAAACAAACTTCAAACCTTTTTGCCCCGTGGGCCCATAATTCAAAGGAAGATTTTCTGAAGAAAAGAGTATCGTTAAACTTCAGCGCTACCGCAAACAGGCTTTGTCCCTAACTGCTGGAACTGCTGTTTAACCCTACTCGATAAAACAGATGAATCTGAATTCCCGTAATCCGTATTATCCCGAACTACGTAAGCTCTGATCTCTCATTCATGTTGAGAGTACGTAGGCACAATACTGATGTATTGGTGATCCACCTTCCCCGTAACTCGTAGTGAGTCGAACGACGTTGACTCTGATTTCTCATTCTCTGATGAGAATACGTAGGCATAAAGTGCGACGCTTTGCCGAGTCATTTTTCTTTTCTTTTTAAGCCAGCCTTGATAGGTAGATAGATAAACCAACTCGTCCAATAAACACAACAAGCGTGGATCCCGTCGAGTACGACGAACGTGAGGGGTGCTAATACCTTCCCCTTGCGTAACCGACTCCCGAACCCAGACAACGGTTGCGATGACCTTGTCTTATACCTTTTTGTCAGGTTTTTCCGATCGTTTCCTTTCCCGCTCTAAGGGATAAATAACGAAAGGTGGCGACTCTTCTATTTTTCCGACACCTTATTTTCGCAGAAGCGACACCTACGCTGGGACCGTTTCCCATCCCCTTAGGTACTTGAATTGGACTGAGCTTTGAGTTGTAATTGTGAGTTCACTCATAAGATTTTATGAAAAGAGTGGATTTTGTGTCTTTGAAGTGTGACTTCTTTTTGTTCTCTATTGTTGAGTTTGTCATTGTTGTGTGACTTATGAGAAGTGAGAGGGGTCTCATATCTAGGAGTTCCTAGGTAGAAGTTAGCACGAGTAGTGATTAGGTGAGAAGCTTGTAAACCTGTGGGTTTTTGCTGTGGGTCTGAACTAATACTATTATAGTGGATTTTGTTCCTAGCTTGGATGCCCCCAGATGTAGGTGATGTTGCATCGAACTGGGTTAACAATTGACTGTGTTATTGTTTACATTCAGGCTCTTATTTTTTCTGCATAAGTGTTGGTTGTTGTCTTGATCCGAGTGTTCTGACATCTGTCTTGACATCTGGTATCTCTGTGCCAGAATTTCATATTCACTTTCTCAATTATGGTATAAATGATTACAAGTGAATAACAACAGTTGGCCTCTCTCAACAACCTAAGAGAACTAGCCTATTTATAGACTACTAAGCTAACTTAAACAACAAGCTAACCTAAACAATTGGATCCTTTACATCGAATTCTACAAGAGCATTAGAGGTTTGATGACGCATCAAAGAAGATATGCAGGCGAAATACTCAAGAGATTTAAGATGCAAGATTGCAACCCAACTACGACTCCAGCTGAGCCCAGAATGCAACTGTCGAAAGACACAGATGAAGATGATGTCTACCTAACTCAGTAAAAAATACTTATTGAGTCACTAAGATACTTTTTTCACACAAGGCATGATCTACCATACAATGTATGTACGGTAAGTAGATTCATGCAGAAGCCAAATGTATCACACCTAACAACAACGAAAAAGATACTGAGGTATCTAAAAGGAACTCTCGACTATGTCATTTTTTTTCTACGATTGATGAAGGAAAAGAATGCAAGCTAGTGGATTACACCGACTCAAGCTAGTGTAGTGATGTTGAAGATCAAAAATCCACAGTTGAGTATGTGTTTATGCTAGGTTGTGCGCCAGTTGCTTGGAGTTTGAGTAAGGAGCCAGTAGTGACATTGCCATCGTGCAAAGTAGAATACATAACTACTTCTCTATGTGCATGCCAAGAAACGTGGATGGTTAACCTGGTCGAAGAGATTACAGCGAAGAGTCATGGAGTAATAACCATGAGGATTGACAACATGTCAGCTATCAATCTGGTGAAGAATCCGATAGCACATGGACAAAACAAGCACATCGAAATGAGATTCCATTATCTTCGAGAGCAGGTAGCAGAAGGGAAGATGAACTTGGAACACTGCAGAACTGAGAAACAGATGGTAGATATTATGACGAAAGGAATGCAAGTCGAAGTGTTCAAAAAGCTAAGGTCTATGATGAGTATAGATAGCTTAGATACAATGAATTAGATGATGTGTTGAGTATGTAATTCCTTGTCAAAGCAGGTTGCTCGACAGAAACAAGGTAGTGTCGAAATAATCTAGTGTGTCTTAGTTGTGTAGTTGTCGAAGTGTCGAAGGAGTTACCATCGACATTGATTTCGACTTAGGCTTAATTTTGTAGTGTTAGCAAAATTAATTATTTTTTGCTTTGTGTTTTTGAGCTTTGCTTAAGGAGCAAATAAATCCAAAATCTAAAAATATGGAGTAACCCCTATTATTGTATAATAATTTTTTGCAGTTGCAAAGAATAATATTCAGTTTTGAATAGCCGAGAGAAACTCTACAGAAGTTCTCTTCTTCCATATTTGGTTCAAACCCTAATTTCCTTTTCTTTCCAATTTAATTTTTTCTTTTTTCTTTCATTATCAATTGTTGTGCAGAATCATCCTTAAAATTAAGATGTGATTGATTCACTCGAATAAAAAAATAAAAAACAAGAGAGAAATTCAATCGATTGATTGAATCTTATTCTTTAAAATTTGTTCAGAATTCTACAAAATTGAGTTAATTCCAATAAAATAAGAATATAGTATAAATTAATACATTGCATTTTTTTATAAATCCTCTTCTTTGAAGTTTAATGTCATATATCTATGACTAATAAATAGTGCACTTGTGTAAAGCCACCGGTAAAGTTTGTACCTAAATCATTAAAGTTAACATTCACACAACTTTTTAACTACTTATTTGTGTATTCACCTTATTTTATTCAATCCAGTACACACTGCCACAAGTCTTCCTATAGTTTATCTTTTTTCAAAGTAAGTCTTTCTTTACTTAAGTAAACCAAATCTAACAAACTTGAAAAATGCAACATTCAAAATAATCCAAAACCACCTAACTTCTCTTTGTTTCAAATGGGTGAATGTGAATTGGAAGAAAAACCAGTCAATGATGACGTAGCATGAAAAGGTGAATATGAATACTCCAAGTGTGAACTCAGAACTCACACACCTATTAATAATCAATGACCAAACATCATCAATGAAACATAACATACACACAAAAAACAAAAACACCACCTCTTCAAACTAGTACAACAACCTTTTCAACTCATCTTCAACCAAGGTTCTAACTTTTTCTTCTCTCCATGAAACCCCACTCTTCTCTTCTCTTCTTATATTCCTTCTTCCATTTCTACACTCTTTCTTCTGCACTCAACTCAGATGGCTTAGCACTTCTATCCTTCAAATCCCACTGGACATCACTTCCACCTCTCATCAACTCAACATGGATTCCATCTCATTCTACACCATGTTCTTGGGCTGGTCTCAAATGCAACTCTTTCCACCGGGTGATCTCTCTCAACCTTTCCTATCTCGATATTTCCGGTCAACTAGGATCAGAAATTGCAAACTGCACACAACTACAACACCTAGACCTTAGTTACAACTACTTCAATGGCCAAATACCTAACTCTTTCACTAACCTTCACAATCTCAAATATCTCAGTCTTTCTGTTAATCTTCTCACAGCTCCATTTCCTCATTTCTTGTCTCAAATCCCTCACCTCAAGCTTCTTGATCTCTCTTATAACCAACTTTACGGTTCCATTTCAACTACTATCGCCAACATGACTCATCTCCAAGAACTCTATCTCAAATTTAACAATTTCTCTGGTGCAATTCCTTCATCTATTGGGAACTGTACTCAGTTGCAAGACTTGTATTTGAATGATAATCAGTTGGAGGGTGTTCTTCCTTACAGTCTCAACAATCTCAACCATCTTGTTGGTTTTGATGTTGCCAACAATAAGCTAACAGGTACTATTCCATTGGGGTTTTCCGGTTGTAGAAATTTACTGTTTTTGGATATCTCATTCAATGATTTTGGTAGTGGCATTCCATATAGCATTGGTAATTGTACTGCTTTATCACAATTTGCTGCTGTGAAATCTAACATGGTTGGAACTATTCCATCTTCCATTGGTCTGCTCACTAAGCTTTCGGTTTTACGCCTTTCTGAGAATCATTTATCTGGAAGAATACCTTCTGAAATAGGTAACTGTAAGTCTTTGAATGAGTTGCATTTGTATTCGAATCGACTTGATGGAAAAATTCCTAGTGAATTGGGGAAACTCAGTGAACTAAAGGACCTTGAACTGTTTTCTAATCAATTGAGTGGCGAAATTCCGCTTGATGTATGGAAGATTCGACGTCTCGAGTATCTGTTAGTGTATAACAATAGCCTTTCTGGCGAGCTTCCCGTGGAGATGACAGAGCTCAAGAATCTTAAGAACATTTCATTGTTTAACAACATGTTCTCTGGAGTCATACCTCAAACTTTGGGAATTAACAGCAGTTTGGTACAGTTGGATTTTATAAATAACAGGTTTACTGGGAACCTTCCGCCAAATCTTTGTTTTGGGAGAAAATTGAGTGTTCTGAATATGGGAATCAATCGATTTCGAGGAAGAATACCTCTTGATGTTGGAAGATGCACAACTCTAAGAAGGGTCATTCTTAAACAAAACGAATTTACCGGGCCTCTTCCAGAGTTTGAAAGAAACACCAATCTGTTATTCTTGGAGATCAGCAGTAATAGAATCAACGGATCAATTCCGTCGAGCTTAGGAAACTGCACGAATCTCACGGATTTAATGTTGTCGATGAACAAACTTAGTGGCAATATACCACCGGAGTTAGGAAGTCTTGTGAATCTTCGAACGCTGGAACTTGCTCACAATAACTTAGAAGGTCCTTTGCCTTTTCAGCTCTCAAAATGTACTAGAATGGACAAGTTTGATGTAGGATTTAATTTCCTGAATGGCTCGTTGCCATCGAGTTTGCAGAAGTGGACAAGGCTAAACACACTAGTTTTGAATGAGAATAATTTTAGTGGCGGAATTCCAACTTACTTGTCGGCTTTTAAAGATCTTTCTGAACTACAGCTCGGTGGCAATATGTTTGGAGGGAAAATTCCTACCGCGGTTGGGACATTGCAGAATTTGATCTACGGGTTGAATCTAAGTTCTAATGGCCTGATAGGAGACATACCAGTGGAAATTGGAATGCTGAAAACTCTATTAAAGATGGATCTTTCTCAGAACAATTTGACAGGAAGCATACATGTTCTTGACGAACTCCCTTCATTAGATGAAATCAATCTTTCGAATAATTCTTTTCAAGGTCCTATACCGAAGATGCTAATGAAGCGGATTAATTATCGATTGTCATCATTTTTGGGGAATCCCGGGCTATGTATCAGTTGTTCACCATCCAGTGGTATGGTTTGCAACGAAAGCAGCTATGTAAAACCATGTGACGACAACAACGAACCTACAAATAACAAAGGCCTAAGTAAAGTTGCGATTGTGATGATAGCTATAGGATCCTCCACATTTGTTGTTTTGCTGTTGATGGGATTAGTTTATATCTTTGCTTGTGGCAGAAAGTCTGAACAGCAGGTCCATATCACTGATAACGGAGGTCCTTCGTCGCTTCTTAACAAAGTCATGGAGGCTACATCGAACCTAAGTGATCGGTATATTATCGGCAGAGGAGCCCATGGAGTTGTCTACAAAGCACTTGTAAGTCAAGACAAAGCTTTCGCTGTAAAGAAGCTAGCATTTGCTGCCAGCAAAGGTAAGAACGTGAGCATGATTAGAGAAATTCAAACCCTTGGACAAATTAGGCATCGAAATCTCGTCAAATTGGAAAACTTTTGGTTGAGACGCGATCATGGTCTAATTCTGTATAGTTACATGCCAAATGGAAGCCTTTATGATATCTTGCATGAAAAGAAACCAGCACCGTCTTTAGAGTGGAATGTTCGGTATAAGATAGCTATCGGAATTGCTCATGGGTTGACTTACCTCCATTATCACTGCGATCCTCCCATAGTGCACCGAGATATCAAACCAAACAACATACTTCTAGACTCGGATATGGAGCCTCACATTGCAGACTTTGGTATTGCCAAACTTTTGGACCAGTCCTCTACATCAAATCCTTCCTTATCCGTGCCCGGCACAATCGGTTATATTGCACCAGGTAACTAACTAACTAACTAACTAGTGGTTTGATTTTTATCGTATTCACAAAATTTTCGTATGGTTAGTAACATGTTTGTTTATATTGGCATTTGACAGAGAATGCGTATACAACAGTAAGTAGTAGGGAGTGCGATGTATACAGCTACGGAGTAGTTTTGCTTGAGCTGATAACGAGAAAGAAGGTAGTAGATCCATCGTTTACAGAGGGTACTGATATAGTGAGTTGGGTTAGACTGTTGTGGAGTGAAACAGGAGACATTAATCAAATTGTTGATTCAAGCCTTGCGAATGAGTGTCTAGATACAAGTATAATGGAAAATGTTGCAAAAGTGCTTATGCTGGCTTTGAGATGTGCGGAGACCGATCCACACAAGAGGCCTAAGATGACCGATGTTACTAAGCAATTATCAGATTCTAATCCGCAGAGAAGAAGTAAGAAGGGCTAGTTTTTTAAAAAGATTTCTAACTTGTATCTATGATCATGATATTATAATAGATATCACTTTTGTTGTATGCAGTGTGCTTCAAATTTGGTGAATAATAATATCATAATCCTATAAGCTCTTGTTGAAACATGCATGCTGTGATCTTGAATTCAGATAATCTTTATTATTACCAAGTTTTCGCCCATTGAAAGCAAAAAACTTCAACTATGCAATGAAGCAGTTCATAGCTTGATGAATAATGATCTTAAATCATGTTGGGGCTGCGGTCTACATTCTTCTGCAGATTCTATCTAGGTGTAGAACTACTAAAGTGTGAAGGAAGTGACTCCATACTCAAGTCCACTTGAAAGGCACTTACGATTTCAAGAATGACTATTATCATATCTTTCGGGCTAAAAAAATATTTTACTATTTTACGCTATTTTCTATTTTATTTATGTTTTTGGATTAAAAATCCATTAACATTTGTTAATGCATTCCATCCTAAAATATCCAAAGAATGGAATAAGATATTGATTCCGCTCCGCTTCATTCCATTTTGTTTCATTCCGCTTGAGAAAACTAAAGGAAAAAAAAACACGATTGAAAAAGTGAATAGGTTGGAGAAGCAATTTGAGTCTTACACTCTCTCTCCATATGTTACCGCGTGGCAGCCTACCATTGGGTCATTTCAAGCATCATCGGAGGAGAGAGGTCTCTCTCCATATGTTGCCGCGTGGCGGCCTACCATTGGGTCATTTCAAGCATCATCGGAGGAGAGAGGAGGGGGGATGTGAGTGTGCGCGCGTGTGTAAACTAAGATTGTATGTTTGTTCTCTTTAGCTTTGGGGCCTCCTTCCATTGCTATTGAAAGACCCCTTTCTTAGCCATCCAAATACAAGTACACCCCTTAATCCCTAGCTTAATTTTTTTAGTTAATCTATTTGTTTTAGTCATTTTCACTCTTCATTTTATTTTTTAGTTCTATTTAATTACTTAAATTACACGAAATTATTTTATTCTCTAATTCGACCTTTATTTTTTTTAGTTATCTTCAATTTAGTTTAGTTAATTTAATTTGTAAATCAAATTTCAAGTAAGTTATTTAGTTATCTTAATTAAATTATGTTTTGAATCAGATGTTTTTAAACAAAGAATAAACAGTTTTTTTATGATCAAGAAACACACAAGGGTTAGGGTTGAGAAAGAAAACAAGGTAAAACAACAAAGAACAACAAGGATTGATTATTCTTTCTTTTCTCTTAGAACAAGATTTCAAGTATACAAGAATAACAAAATAATCTCTCCCTCTTGAAATTAGGATTTCATCTTCCTATTTTTCCTTATTCCAAAATTGAGAAACTAACATCCTATTTATAAGAAAAATAGCACACTAACTTAATGAGCTTTTTAACAATTATTCATTACAAGCTAACTTAGGGTACAAGTTAACTTAAACACTTGGGCTTACAAGCAAGACCCAATCCAATATGCTAACAACCTAGCAATCTTGACTAACGCATGTTAGAACAAACTTCGACTACAACACACATTATCTTCGACAACAGCATGCGAACAGACGTCGACCTCATGCTTAATTCCTATCAAACCAGAAGCTACCCTTCGACCATACTAGAGTTCGATCCAACATCTCACAAATCTCCACCTTGGAACAAACTCTATAACATCAAGGAACTAGCTTTCTTCATGCAGCTTTATCAACTGTATACAGTGGAAAAACTTGCAATTGAGCAACGTCTTGGTGATCATATCAGCAGCATTATGATCTGTCGAAATCTTCAGCACTTGGACTTCTCCACGCTCGATTACCTCTCTGATGAAATGGAGCCTCACATCAATGTGCTTGGTTCGCTTATGATAGGCTAAACTCTTCTACAGGTGTATTGCACTTTGACTATCACATTTAACAGTGATAACTCGACCTTGAAGTTTCAGCTCCTTTGCAAAACCTTCAAGTCACAATGCTTCCTTCACAGCTTCAGTTAGAGCAATATACTCCGCTTCAGTGGTTGATAAGACAACGACCTTCTGAAGTGTTGCTTTCCAACTGATTGTTAACTCAAACATAGTGAACACATATCCAGAAATAGATTTTATGGAATCCATACAACCTGCATAATCAGAGTCGACATATCCTTCGATTGTTGCTTTACTATCTTCACCCAAGGCTCAACCATAAATTAGGACTCTATTCAGAGACCCATTTATATACATTATTAGTCCGCTGCATTTATGATCAGATTTTGAACTGGTGTTTAGAATCTGAACTCCGTTCAGAAGCAGAAATGTTTTTAGAAAACACAATTCAACCCCCATTCTTTTGTATTTTCCCACCTTCAATTTCTTAAAATCCTGATAAATCTGGAAATCCAACCGATTGGATACATTATCCAATCTATTAGAAGACTAAAAAAGGAAATATTTTGATTTGATTCTCGATCAACACGCTCTACATTAAGTGCTTGCCAAATATACATGCTCAAACCCTCATATGGCACGTTATAAATATGTATTCCCTTCTCATTATTTTGCATTGCATATTTTCTTTTCAAACCTTATATGTGAGTCTGTTCTTGTAAGATTATCATGAATCCAAAAAGATAGAGATTTACCTCTAGTTCCCTTACTGAGGATTTCACCACCAGGCAACAAGAATCAATATTTTTTCAATACTTTGCCAACCGAATCCTTCTAAGAATTCATACCCTAGTTCCAGAAGATTTTAAAGAATGAAAATTCTTTAAAATCTTTTAAGAACTTAACCTCTCCACCTTTCTCTGCATGCCTTAAAAAAGAATCTATACATCCCTTGTGAAGATGTTTTTTTTCAAACCTTCATCTCACAAATGGAATACTTCAAAGAGAAATAAGAAAACATAGGATAAGCCTATCAGTAGAAGAATTTGGAGAGAGGATAAATCTCCATCATGAAGATACAATCATTGAGATTGGAAATAAACCAACCGATACAACTACATCATCGATGCATCCTCTCTTATGAAGGAATTATCGCTATGCATACCATACCCATTCATGATTGGGTATGTTCACCCTGAGAGTTGAATGATTCATTATGTAATCAATCACATCCTTTTTCCCAGAAAGGCAACTTCAGTCTCTTAACCTAAGTTGGTGTAGAAATAATATGGTTAATAGAAAACAAAGTCAAGGTAAATTGTGTACAACAAATAACTAACTACATGATAGAAAGTAAGAAAGAAGAAACACACCTTCCATAGAAAAATATAGTCATAAAAATTCTGGAAGAAATAGGATACGGGTTTGGACATGAAGAATTCAAGGAAGAAATAACCATTATAGAAAGATTTGTCTTACCATTAATGAAGTACGAGCTGATAAATGGAAGGACCACTGAAAAGATACCATCAAATGAGAAGAAAAGGAACGCCAAAAATAAGGAAATTCCTATAAAAATAGAAAGCTTAGACAATTCCCCCCAAATACTCACAACCAAGGAATTTTTGAAAATCATAAGTGGAAAAATAGATGTAATCAATGACAAGATAGACTTCATAGTACGCTACTTCATTCTTGACCAGACTAAACTACCATATGGCCTATTCTTCTATGAAGACCTTAATATAGAAAAATCTCGCTTAGATTTTTGTTTATTTCATGTGTTTGTTGTACACACTTTAAATCTAGTATTTTCCCTTCTTGTACTTTGAATTTCGCAAATTTCCCTTATGTAATTTGAATTTCTTAGTAATAATATGAGTAATTTATTTTTTAAAGGTCTAAAACACCATTGTATGCATATTTCCTTCTCTTAAAGTATCTTTACCCGCCTTTTTGATTTTGACAAAAAGGGAGAAGTGTACTTTCAAGGGGAGTAGGGTATACTCTCTATTTAACTCGGGGGAGTTTAATCACTCTAAATATACATGCATTATTTTATTTTTACCACCTCCCCTGAGAGATGTGTTGTCATCACCAAAAAGGGAGAGAATGTGGAACCTTGTTTTGTAGGTGATATGCTCTTAACAAGTACATCAAATTTTAATGATGACAACCAATGTCTTATGATAAGTCAAGCATGAACGATTAAATGGATAAAGATGCAAACATAGTCATTAGGGTTTTGTAGGACTTGGCTATCCGATGATGTCAATCAAATAGAATGTAACTAAAACCTCATGTTAAGCTACTCAAGCAAGTGACAATAAAAGAGAAGTATATGGCAAAGTCTTGAAGTGCTAAGGACCCTTCTAATTTAGTAGTGAGCTAATAAATTGTAAAACATAAGGACTTTATCGTAATAGCACATGGTTAAAGCACACAAAAACTAAAATATATTTGCAAACTATTTTTACTAAAGAAAATACTTTCAAAATATCTTAAAGTTGTGTCAGATGAATTACAAACTGTTAAAATTGCTAAAGACAAAATTTTGACTTATCTAATCAATCAATACTTTTGTCTAATTGATTAGCTCAGTTCAAAATTGAGTCACAAGCGATTAAGACAACTCCTTAATGATGTAAAACTACTAGATATATTTTCCTTCCCTTTTAAAACTTACAATCGATAATATTTCAAACTTTTAATCGACTGTGAACATGTGACAATCAATTAGAATGTCATAAAATGCATTTATTGAAAATTCATATAATTAGACGTCCTTTTTCTCATCTCATTTCATCCAAAATTGTGTTTTGACACAGCTAACACACACACAATCTCTCTCTAAACATTTTGTTTACTTTCTCTCAATTATATTTTAGCCCAAGTGCTTTTATGAGAAAAGTCCCTTTCTAAGTGAGGAAAATTTGTAATTCTGGAAAGGGTAGAATTACAAATTCACAAAGGAAATCTTTTGTATACACCTTAGTTGAATGTTATCCATTTAGGGATTTGTTTGGGGTAGAAGTTAAACCCGTAAAAAGCTTTGGTTTGGGGATTGTGTGATCAAAATCTAGTTTAGTTTAGAGATCAGCCCGTGATAAAATCTCTTAGGTTCTTGGTCAACCCAATATTAA